TAGGGTGCATGTGCTCACCACCAAGACAGAGACAGAGAGACAGAAATCGAGAAATCACCCATTCAGGGGGGATGGCCATCCCGCAATCCCTTCTCTATTCTCCTCTCTGGGTCTTGGGCATGTATTCTCCTCTCGGGGTCTGGGGCACGCACACACACACACACACACAGCGTGAGTTTAAGCCACTGGGTCCAGGACTCGAACCGTGGCCAACTACACGGGAGTCCAGCAACATAGCCAATATGCCAACTGCTGGTCCCCACAGTGATGTTTTTTGAATGATTTAAGAATGTTTATGGACAAAAGGTTGATATAAAAATTAAGGGAATTTCTACATCTTGGCTATGAACAACTGAAAGAAAAATGTTAAACATTACTACTTTAGTATAGCTCCAAAGTCATGACATATTTAAGTATAAATCATTTACTGAGATGACAAAAACCTTTGCTGAGAGAAATTAAAGGAGATCTAAATAAATGGAGTGATGTGCCATGTCCATGTACTAGAAGACTCAATCTATGTTCAGATGCCAGTTCTTAAATCAAGCCATACATGAATCCTAATCTAAATTTCTATAGGATTTTTGTAGTGATTGACAAGCTTATTCTACCACTAATATGGAAATTAGAGAGGCTCTAGATTAGTCAAATAAATAATTAAGAATCAAGGTTGAAACCCAATATTAAGCTACAGAAGTCAAGATGGTGTGGTTTTGGGGAAGACATAAAGATCAGTGAAACAAAATAGGGAATCTAAAAACAGACCCATAGGTGTGCAAGTATACAATGAATTAATCTTAGACAAAGGTGTCTTGATAATTCACTGGATTGAGAAACTTTTTAATAAAATGAACATCTACTGGACCATCAGAACAGTCATGACGTATTTTTCCATGCAAAAATGCATCATGACTTTTCCAACTACCCAATAGAACAACTGCTAACTGTATTAGAAAAAAAGGAATCTCTATTCTTCATATTGTATACAAATATTACCTTAAAATGGATCACAGATTTATATGTATAGTCTAAAACTATGAAATTTCCAGGAGAAAGTGTGGGAGAAAATATTGATGACCTTGGGATAGGCAGAGCCATCTCAGGACACAAAAGGCATTAGTCATAAAAGAGATACTTTTAAAATTAGACAATCAAAATTTAAAACTTCAAAAGACAGTGTGACAGGGACCAGCAGTTAGCGTAATGGCTATGTCGCGGGGCTCCCATGTAGTCAAATGTGGTTTGCGTCCCAGACCCGGTGGCTTAAAACTCACGTTGGGCTCATGTGTGTGCGTGCCCAAGATGCCAAGAGAAAAATGGAGGAGAAGGGACTGCGGTGTGGCCATCCCCCCTGGGGGGTGATTTCTTGCTTTCTATCTCTCTGTCTCTGTCTGGCGAGCGCACATGCCCTATAGCAAAAACCTCTCCAAAAAAAAAAAAAAAGGACAGTGTGACCCAAAAAACTTCAAGGCCTGGACTGGGAAAAATATTCACAACACATGTATCTGACAAAGGACTTGTATTCAGAATATATAAAGAACATGTACAACTTAATAGTAAGAAGACAACCCAAGAAATAAAAGGGCAAAAAATTTGAATAGATCTTCACAGAGGAGGATAGTGAATGCCATGCATCACCTGCAGAGATGCTCAGAGTCGTTAGTAACTAGAGAAATGCCAATTAAGACCTCAATGACAGCACTACATCCCATGCTAATGTATCAAATGTAAAAAGACTGGAAATACCAAATGTTAACCAAAACAGAAAGCAACTGTGACTTTCATGTACTGCTTACAGAAATGGAAAATCGTATTAGTCACTTTGGGAAAATCTGCCACTTTCTTACCATGTTAAACATTCTCTCACTGCATGACCCTATTACCATTTCTACTCTTTTTTATTTATGCAAGATAAATGAAAACACAAATCTACAAAAAGACTTTATTCATAATAGACAAAAATGGGAGACAACCCAAAGATCCCTCAACAGGTGAATGGGTAAGCTCATTGCTTATATAGTGAAACATCATTCAACAATAAAAAGAAACGAAACGCTGGTAAGCATAACGACTTGGATGAATCTCAAGAACATTGCATTGAACAGAAGAAGATAATAAAAAAAGGAGCACATACTATATTATTCCATGTCTATATTCTAGAAAAGGAAGAAACCAATAGCAATAAACAGCCAGTCAGTGGGTACTTGAGGCTGAGCTTGGAAGAATGATGGCTGCAAACAGGCATGAAAGAGCTGTTAGAGATGTTGAAAACATTCTGTGTTCTGATGGTGGTGGTTTCTACTTGAGCTTAGGCAAAATGAGCTTTATAAAACTCATTGTATATTTAAAATAAATGCATTTTATTATATAAAAGTAAAACTGCAGTAAAGTTCATTTTTAAAGTAAAGACTCATCAGGAATTCTGGGAAACTAGTTTAAAGTAGAATTGGACTCATGGGTCTTTTTTTTCATTAAATATGAAAAAATTTAGAACATCAGATTAAGAAAAACTAAAATATATACTAAATTGTATTGAAAGAAAGGGAAGGCATTTTGAAAAAGAAACAAATGGAGTATGTCTTCATTTGAATCAAATTCATACTCAGTAAAGTTGCCAACTGCAGTCTGTATCTCAATCCAACGGATTTTTCCATTCCAAGTCAGCATGACCTGTTGCTTTTGTCAAGATTCCCAATAACAGAAAATGAAGAAAGTAATTGATATTTCTAAAATGTTAGCTGTTAATAATGTAACCACAAGAAGACTCAATGAATCTACCAGAGCTGAAGTTAGTCCCTTTTGAGAAAAGTTCCATCCAAGCCAATGTTGATCCTGCTCCTTTAGTTTTTTCGATGAAGATGTATTTCAAGCATTCAGGTTTATCATTCAAGTGTTTGCAAAGAAGAACATTGGATCCTCATCCTGGCACTTCTGACTTTCATCAGTTAGCGCCCTGCCTTTTTCTCCTCTCTTGGAATAAACTTTCAGTAACAATCTAGGGTCAGCAGTGCTTTCTCCCCTCTTTACCACTGTAGGCTTTATTTATTTATTTATTTTCCTTTGGTAGAGGGGGCTATGGGGCAGAACAGAATGATAGGATATTAGAATGGGAAAAGCTGGACTCTAAGTCACTTAATCCACTTTTCTCAATTACAGAGAGGGAAGTTGAGGCCCACAGAAAGAGAGGGGCTTTCCTAGTGTCTTGCGCTCTTAGGAGTGAAAACCAGCCCTAGGTCGTTACAGCCCTGTGCTGTCCGGGAACCACAGCCAGTTTGGCTCTGACTCAGGCTCCTCTGTAACTAGAGAGATTATTCACCTGTTTTCAAGGGCATTGCTGGAAAACAGGCTGAAAGGACCATGAAGTGCACATTGCTCAACACCGATACTTGAAAGCAATCTTAAGTCACCACCTGCATAAATTACTTTCCTAACAACTCTTTGGGATGAAAATTCCTGTGGCTTCCACATTTCAGAAGAGTTTGAGATGTTCTTTCTTCCTTTTCCCTTTTGTGTGTGTGTGCGTGTGTTCTGAATTTGCTCTGGCAGAGAGACTTAACTTGAGCCTTGCTGCAGGGATTTACAGTAATTAAAAAAACTATGCTAATGAGAGAGAAACCTGTCATAAATTTGATCTATTTCCCAAGTCATAACTAGGGAGAACCAACCATCTGAAGGTAGAGCCCTGGCTTGTTTTCCCTCCTGGCTAGGGTCATTGCTAATTGCTGCACTGTTATTAAAACAAAGGGCTGGTCTATAAATGCCCCAGAATGACACAACTCTGCCCAATCAGGACTGCAATCAGACCACCCTGTGTTTTATGAACTCAGTGTCTTGGCAATCCAGAGACATGCCAGTGGGGGCAGAGTTTCTGCTTTGGCTGCTAATTAAACTTTAGAAACCTTTGCTTTGTTGCCGGGCCAATCATCCCCATAATCTGATTGGCCAGAGTTGATGCTATTTGAAATGGGCAAATTTATATTTATTCTGAAAAATGAGCAACAATTCCAAAGAATAAATATTTATTTGAAAGAGCGAAAGTATCTGTCAAGTGAGAAGATTGCCTGAAATAGCTTTATCCAAAAAAAAAAAAAAAAAAAAACCTTTTTCTGAGAGTAGGAAAAAAAATTTATTATGGCTGCCAGATACAATATTATTCATATTTCCAAAGAGAGAATGGAGATATTAATACCTTACCTTAGGAACTGCTGCTAGCCTTTACCCAGCTCCTTAACAGCTGTGATTTGCATCACCCCCAAATGTCCTTCTGAGGGTGAAGGTAGGGCTGTATGTGTTGGTGGCTACCTTTGGAAAGTAGTCTAAAATATTAAGATGCAGGGCTTTGAAACCAGTATTCATGCATCAATTTATTCATCAGATACTTCTAGAGCATCTCCCTCGGAAATTGTTGTGGGAACCAAGCTAACACACACTAGAGAAGCCAGACAGACTAATGTTCTCTGCACAGGTGAACGTGTGCATTCTGGTGAAGCCACCAAAGATTCATGTGTCAGTTCTGCCCCTTGATGTGTGACCTTGGGCACATTACATGTTCCTGCCACGTTTTTTTTTTTAAGTGTAAGGTGGTGTCAGTAGTAGTAGTATTCCTGCAGCATAACGTTTTGTGAGGCTAGATGAGAGTGCACCCACGAAACTGTTACTGCATAGCAAGCACTCATAAACAGCGGCCACTGAGAGTCTTGTCATCATTTTAGTTCAGGACAGTTCTTGTCACATTGGGTCCTCAGCGAACTTCCTCTTCCTTCTGCGAGGGGTGGACCTGTCCGCTGCTATGAAAGTGGACACAACGAATCACTGACCCAGATGGTCCTGGAGACAGGGCTTGTGTTCTACTCTCCCAGCCCCATCCCGGCCTTCGCCTGCCTGCTTTTACTTAAGCGCAGCCGCACAGAATTAGCCCTCGTTCGAAAATAACTCCTGTGCTCATCCTGTTTTGCTTCCCTGGGTGACAGACTCTAACGTTCCTTCCTCTCTCCTTTCAGATTGTTTAGTGTAATTTTGGAACAATTAACCAAAGAAACAGAAGGCGGGAACCACTCTAGCGGCAAATCAGGAGGCTTCGATGTCAAAGCGCTCCGTGCCTTCCGAGTGTTACGACCACTTCGACTCGTGTCAGGAGTGCCCAGTAAGCATTGCTGCCTCCTAGACTCGGCCCTGTGGGTGTCCTCTTCGGGTGGGTCACCGAGTTACGAAACAGGGTGCTGCGAGGTGAATCGCTGCCAACCAGTCATGCCACCCAGCCCGGAGAACGCTTGCTTGTGCTGTCACTTTGGATCCTGGTGACAGCCCCCAAAGGGGGACAGGTGGTGACTGTTGTCACCCTGATTTTGCAGACAGAAGGACCTCTCTGGCCGAGATTAGGTGGTGGTGTGAGATCTTGGGTCCAGGCCCCCCGGTGCCTGACAATGTACTGCCACCATCTCTGGCTGCCCAGGCCCACACTTTGGGTTATGTGGACAGGGTTGGAGGGTTTGGCTCCACTTTTGTCCAAGCGGGACACTGGGAGGCTGGACTCCTGGAAACCCCAATAAGCTCCCTTGCCACTAGGATGATGCCGTCCAGCTCTGGGAAGGGCAATAAGTGCTTTGGCATTGCCGGCCATACTTGCGGCCCCCATACCTGCTTTGAAGGCTGTCATGGGCTCCAAATGATATCAGGGCCCCTCGCTCTGTGTCTAAACACAGAGGAGGCCCTCGGCAAGTGAGGATGTTGTCATTATCTGCTAAGCCCTACGGCCCCAGTCAGGGCTAAGCCCACTTGGCTTCTGGCTCCAGACTCTGGGCTGGGTTGAGTCACACCTGAATTGCAACACCTGCCCTGTCTGCCCTGACTAAGGGCCTCATCTCCTTCCATAAGGAGCACAGGGGTTGTCTCCCTGGGCTCTGCCCCTTGGTCAGACTTCTCATGTTGGGGACTTCAGAGGGCGGGAGTCTTCACACCATTCCAGGGACCGCTGCTTCTGAGGTGGCTGCTTGCTCACAGCAGGAGCCAAGGACATGGGACTGCAGGGTGTGCCTGTTTTTCACAAGTCATAAAGCTGTCGGAAGAACACAGCTCTTTTTTTTTTTTTTCTTTTCTTTTTTTTTTTTTGCTTCTCCAGAAGTTCTTTATGAAATTTTATTAAACCTGTTGGCACTCAAAATGTACCAAAAATCCTCTGGAAAAAAATTAAAAAGGCAATTTCCAAATTTAACATTTTAAAATGTAGGAAGTGGTGTTTTATGTGTACTTGTTTTTCCAGATGGTTCATTTATTTTCATTCAAAAAGATCAGCACAAGTCAAAACCACAGAACTGTCTGGAAGCAATTGAGAAAACTAGAAATACCTTGGAAATGACTGGCTCTGTGAAGTGTAACATGATTAAATGAGAAGCTCAGTGAGCAAACGTGTTCTTTTAGATTTAGTTGTTATAGCTTAATTTAATTTCAGCGTAACCACGACAGAATTCATAAAGTGGTCGAAAGAACACGGCTCTTTTTTTTTTTTTTCTTTTCTTTTTTTTTTTTTGCTTCTCCAGAAGTTCTTTATGAAATTTTATTAAACCTGTTGGCACTCAAAATGTACCAAAAATCCTCTGGAAAAAAATTAAAAAGGCAATTTCCAAATTTAACATTTTAAAATGTAGGAAGTGGTGTTTTATGTGTACTTGTTTTTCCAGATGGTTCATTTATTTTCATTCAAAAAGATCAGCACAAGTCAAAACCACAGAACTGTCTGGAAGCAATTGAGAAAACTAGAAATACCTTGGAAATGACTGGCTCTGTGAAGTGTAACATGATTAAATGAGAAGCTCAGTGAGCAAACGTGTTCTTTTAGATTTAGTTGTTATAGCTTAATTTAATTTCAGCGTAACCACGACAGCTTTTTTCCCCCAAAGAGTGCCTGACAGGACGGGCTGGCTGTGGTATGTGCTGTGCACAGACTTGTGGGGACTGTGGCTTATGCGTGCGAATATCTGGCCAGCAAGATCTCTCGGAACACATAGCGTCCTGTTGACTCTGTTGGCTGGTGAAACTTTTACTGACCGACTAGTGGCCGACTCTCAGCTCCTCTTGAGGATCCATTTCAAACTGCGTTTCTCCCTTTCCCCCAAGAACATCACTGCTTGAAATATGACAGAGACCTGCATCTTTTTATCTCACAGGTCAACAGAGAGGACTGTGGGAGTGGGGGGTATCTCTGTCTTAGGGGAGGACGTTTCAATGCATATTTTAACTGCCTGGGTGGGGACCGTCTGAGCTGCTCATCACACCCAAATGAGCTTTTCGGAGAAGGGATCGGGTTCAGGGTGATGCTGCCTGCCATGCCGGCTAGCAATGGTAGCCTGGTGATTTTTTTTTTCTCTAGAATCAGAAATTGTTAAAAAGACCTGGAGTGTTTGACTATTTATATTTATCTAGGAATTGTCTCATCCCCTCTAAAGGGAATTCCGACTGTCCTACAAGATATAATTTAGTGTGCACGTGTGTATGGGAATAGACATTCGGGAAAAGGTAAATATATGTCAGAAGGTGGTAGTTTAAACATTTGTGGAGTTCTTAACCACCCATATTCAGTTAGCTGATAAATGTTTGTCAGAATCCAAGACCATCAATGTGGGAAAGAACCCTAATAGTCACCTGGTCTGTCTGTATCTTCTTTTTAAGTTTGTTTGTTTATTTCTTCCATGAATGAGGGAGGCAGAGAGACAGCGCCCCCACAGGGTCTTAGCATCTTGATTTCCCCCCTGGCTTCAGCCAGCTAGGGAGCATGGGTACACGCCTGCCCAGCCTGCTCAGGGAGGTCGCTATGTAAGCTGGGGACCTCCACATGGGTCAGCCATGCAGAGCATTGAGTTTACTTCATGTCACCATCCAGCCCCCTGCATCCTGTTAGATGAGGAAACCAAGTCCTGTTAAGAGGTGATTAAGGTGAGGGATCTCTCATGGCCAACTTCGCGGTTCGAGTCCCAGTCCTGGCAGCCACATGTGTGTCCATGCCCAAAATCCAAAGAGAAGATGAGGACAAGGGAGTTGCAGTGTAGCCATCCCCCCTGGGGAGTGATGTCTCATTTTCCCTCCCTCTGTCTCTCTGGTGAGCGCATGTGCCCTATGGCCAAAATCTAAAATAATAATAATAATAATAAAAGGTAGTGGCTGTGCAAGTTCTCACAGCTGGGGGCAGCCAAGCAGGACGCAGCCCGATCTCCTCACTCCTGGCCCCGACTTCCTTTCACTCCACTCTTTACTGCCACTGCTCCCCTCCCCTCTTCCCTGCCACTTCCCTGAGTGCAGTTTGATGACAGTCAAATGACCGAATTCAGAGAAAGTGCATGTGGTCATGTTAAGATACAACTTTATTATCTCGTAAATGTGAGCAGGCTGAAATGTAGTAGTTACGCTAAACATAAAAATATTCATGAAGCGTAGACCTTCTACCCTGGAATTAGAAGGGCTAACTGCTGGGCGATGTTTTTAGATGGCCCATCTGTGTCTCAGAAAAACCAGAACAACAATTTGTCCAAGTAGGTGAGAACAGATGTTTTCTTTTCCCCTCTCTTTATTCCTTTTAAGAGGAAAAAAAAAATTGAAAAATCATCATATTGATTCCCTCCCCCTGCCCAAAGAAACCATTTGAACATTTCACGATCCAAAGACAGCATCTAGGAGTTTCATTGTAATGAAGGTCTTTGAAAGACTGGGTCTCGCTGAGTCTGAAATCCTCTTACCAGTCTTCCCTCCCCGGCTTCTTCCCGTGGGCTGCTTATCATTGGTAACCTTGTTATTACGACAGATATGTATTCTTCTCTTCGCTGGTATATTCTGATGCCTGATTTATTTCACTTGAAAGCATCTCCGCTTCTTATATTCTCTCCTTCTTTGAATATGTATTAGGACAGTGAGATGATATTTTAAAAAGGGGCAGTGTGGCGCAGGAGAGGGATGAGAAAGAGATGAGGAGGAGGGGGAGCCTAAGTCAGAGGTGGTGAACAGACCATGGGCTGCTGAGCAGGGAGTCAGGAAGCCCGAGTCATAGTGCAAGCTCCGGGTGCCTGCCCATCAAGCATCTCTGTCTCTTGTCTCCTCCCACCAACCCTACTCCTGGGTGTTGTCCCACCTTCCTCTTTCTCGTTTCCTTTCCCTTCTTTGGCAGCCTTCCCCAACCGTGGCTCTGTGGATAACTTCTAGGCCTCATGGCCTTCATCTCTCAAGCCCATGACAGGGCAGCTGCAGGACTTTGCCTTAACACGAGGCCTGCCTCCACACTTCGTAAGTCTGAGGTCGCACTCAGCATCCAGCCTCCGCACCTGCAGCCCTCACTCCAGGATGGCCTCCTGCAAGTGCCAGCTTTGGCTCAGGCTCCAGTAATAGGAGTGCTCGATGGTGCTCCTCTTCCCAGCTCTGCCTGACCTACCTGGAGAACTCGGTGTGCATGCTCCTCTCTCTCTTTTAGGTTTTTGCCATAGGGCACGTGTGCTCGAGATAGAGCAGGAAAGTGAGAAATCACCACCCGGCGGGGGGGATTGGCTGTGCCATAATCCCTTCTCCTCTATACTCTTCTCGGGATTTTTGGGCATGTACGCACACGTGGTGTGATTTTTCAAGCCACTGCATCCAGGACTCACACTGCAGTCAGCCATATGGGAGTCTAGGGCCTTAACCACCATACCACCTACTGGCCCCTCTCTCCCTCTCTCTTTTTCTAAACTGACGCTTAATGATTGCACATATTTGTGGGGTGTAGTGTGACTTTTCAGTGTATGAATATACTGTGTAATGACGTGTGTCATCTCCAATATTTATTTGAATGTCCAGAACTTTCAAAGTCCTCATTGAGCTATTTTGCTAAACTATTATCCTTTTCATCTTTTTTTATTTTAATTTGCCAGAGGGCATGTGTGCTTAGTAAGACAGAGACAGAGAGAAAGTGAGAAATTACCCCCATGGGGAATGGTCACACTCCCCCTTCTTCTCTACTTTTCCCTTCTTTGGGAATTGTTTCTCAAGTGGCCAAGTCTACGATTTGAACCACACAGTTGGCCGTTTAAGTCCAACCACTTTAACCACCACACTGCAGGCTGGTCCCTGTTCATCTTTTTTAAGTTGTTGCCTTTGCAGATGGACTGAAGTCTGGCTCTGAAGCCCACTTCAGAACCCTGTACTGGGACCAGCAGATGGCATAATGGTGACCTTGTTTGACTCTCATGTAGCTGACTGCGGTTCAAGTCCTGAACCCAGGTCGGCTTAAAATCATATCAGTTGCATTCGCATGCATGCCCAAGATCCTGAGAGGAGAATGGAGGAGATGAAATAGTGGTGTGGCCAACCCCCCAGGGAGTGATTTCTTGGTTTTTGTCTCCATGTGCCTTATAGCAAGAACCTCTCTTAAAAACAAACAAGCAAACAAACCCAGTGCCTCCTGGCTGCAGCCTACTTATCATTACTGGTATTATTTCCTGCTGTATGAATGGTCAGTCTCACCTACCACCCACCTGCAACCCACGCCGTGCTCACTCACTCCTGTGCTCTTGGTATTCTGTCCTCTCTTCCAGAAGTAGCCTCTCTCCCTACCCGTCTGCAGAAACCCACCCCACTCAGCCCCCAGGGCCTGCCTAGAGGGAAGCTGCTTCAGAATTGCTTTTCTTTACCAAACTCAGAAGCAGTGTCTTCCCTTTCTCTTTAACTTTGATATCGCTTGTATAGCATCTGTGTATTACCTTAGTTATCCATGTTTAATTCTTACGTCTCCTTCTAGAATAGAGCCTGTTTGAGAAGAAGCTCCTTTATGTAACCGTCTTCACATTGCCCAAAGTACTAAACCACATGGTGTTCAGGGATTGTTTTGAATGGATGCACAGATGCATATATAAATGAATGGCTAACGTTGACAGTGACAATCCCCTCTCCGGACCTTAGTTTTTCCATCTGTCAAGTAAGGGATTTGGATTAGATGATCTTCAAGGTTTCTTTTTAGCTCAGCTCACATCCAGGCTTAATATTAATGAAAAGCTCTGACGTGGCGCTCAGAGTTTTAGGACTATGTGTCATAAGGGGAGCAGACATCACTAGGAATTAAATGTACATATCACCGAAGTGTCTCTCTGGCTCACAGACTTCTTTTTCTCTCTCCTAGGTTTACAAGTTGTCCTGAACTCCATTATTAAAGCCATGGTCCCCCTCCTTCACATAGCCCTTTTGGTATTATTTGTAATCATAATCTATGCTATTATAGGATTGGAACTTTTTATTGGAAAAATGCACAAAACATGTTTTTTTGCTGACTCAGGTGAGTAATAAAAATGGTAGCTAACCTAACTTTTTCCATTTTTGGTTTTCCCCAAAACAACTTTTGTAATTTAAGGAAAATCTAAGGCAAAATGGGAGGGGAAAAAAAATGCCAACTATAACTTACAAGTTTACTAAGGCAGTGCTTAGTGTGAATTATGACCAGAAAAAATGAGAATGTAATCTCCTTTTTCCATCCTGACTTCCTATGTAATGTGTCCAACCAAGCAAGATAAGGGGCTTCCAGAACCAGCACGGGAGGAAACCGATAGCGCTGTGGTGTGAGCTTGGGAAAGGTGTGCTGCAGGAGTGACTGCACGTTCCTCCTCTCCGAGGGAGTCTGAAGTGGACCCTGGGCGGTGTGTAGGATTCCGGGATAGCGCAGATGGGGAGTAGAGGCTTCAGGCTCTGGGGTGGGTCCTTGGCTCCCTCCAGCTCGGGCTTCCTGTCATTCCTCTGCGGAATGTGCAGTCTCCTTGCTCTGTTTGCAGATATCGTAGCTGAAGAGGACCCAGCTCCGTGTGCGTTCTCAGGGAATGGACGCCAGTGTACCGGCAACGGCACGGAATGTAGGAGTGGCTGGGCTGGCCCAAACGGAGGCATCACCAACTTCGATAACTTTGCCTTTGCCATGCTCACTGTGTTTCAGTGCATCACCATGGAGGGCTGGACAGATGTGCTGTACTGGGTAAGCAGTCCCAGGAGTTCGTGGCATGTTCTAGGATGAAGACATTGCATTCATTAGGGCCGTGGTAAAGTTGGCAGGAAAAGAAAGCATGAGATGTCAGTTTTTTGGGAAGGGCAGAAGATCCTCTCTTCTGTCACTGGCCTCCCTGACCTCCCCCCCAGAGTCTTAGTTTCAGTTCTAGAAGCTGCTGTAGAATGCTGGCTTCTGACCACTGAGTCTTCCAGTCCTGTAGCTGCCTGGGGACTTGCTTCCTGGTAGTCGACTGGGAGGACAGCCAGGGCTGTCCTGTTCACACTGTAAGAGAGCCAGAAGGTCATGTCCCAGGTGAAAGAGGCTCCTTGACTTCCATGGGCTAAAAGTGACCTTCTATACATAAAGGCAGGTTGCCCTGTTGGACCCTAAAGAAAAGTTGGGGAACATAAATTGGATCCCTTTCATGTTTTCTGTAACTTTAAACCTAACATGAATTTGTCCCTTATTACCTTCTTTGCCTTTGGCATCTTTGGTCTCACTGTAAATCCATCAACCCAAGCCCTTAGCTCCCAGCCTTCTTCCTTTCTCTCTAGAGCTATAGAACTCTGGCAGAAAAGGTAGAGACAGCAAGTCCAGCTCCCAGAGCTGGTCCAGCCATCCAGCTCACCATGAAATAACTGACACTCTTCCAGTAGCTGGGGTTTGATGTCTGTTATTCTCGATAGAGCCACCAAAGGTTGGCTGTAAAGAAACAGCGGCAGTCTTTGGACAGCTGTTTCCCGGGGCTCAGTTTGTGTGGTAGGTAGAATTTCAGGAGCCCATAGAAGTTTAGAGATTGTTTTCCATGGTATTAGAGTTATTGGGCAAAACATCTAACAGATAGATTCTGAGCCAGCACCCAAGTCCAAGTGGGATAAACCAGGATTCCAATAATGAGAGATTGAAAGAAAATTAGTAATAATACACGTCTTCAATCAGCAGCTTCTAGAGCTGCCAATTAAGAAGTAGCTTCTAATTGTTAAGTTTTAAAGGATTTCAGACTACTTCACAACTTCAGAGAACATGACATTTAATCATTATGAATGGGTTTTGTTTCCCTTTACCAATGAACACTGTACTTGCAGGATTGTGTAAGTCCTTCTATATTCATTGTTAGGTCTAATTCAGTGCAAAAAAAGTTATATTTTTATCTTTAGTCTACAACATGTGAGTCTAGTTTGATGAAGTTTAAGCATCACCAACATATTATATCTTGTTTTCCCTCTTCTGTTTCATTTTCTGATTGTTATAGAAGAGTGAGTGAGTGGGTGTGCATGTGTATGTGTATGTGGGGGTGTGAGTATATACATTTGTCATTTATATTCATAAGACAATGCTTTTCATGAAGAAGAAGGGAGATTATATTGGATGAGCCAAGACAATGGCTTGCAAGAAGAACCTCCCTCCCCAAGTTAGGTGAAAGGCTCATTTTTTTACTATTTTCATCTGAATTGCAACTTCTAGCCAGTTGAGTTGACGTATCAGTACCAGTATTTTTAGATGCTTCCAATAAATAGAAAAAAATATTATCCAAATAGCCCCAAATATCTTATCTTTTCCCCAAATAGTACAGAAAACAATATTTTGATTTTTTTTTCAAAAATAAGAAATCTATCATTCCTCTGAGCTTTGTATTTCTTTCTCTTGCCATGGTGAATTGTTAACTACTAATCCAACATGCCTTGACTAATGGGCAATTTTACACTATATGTTATATTTATGCACACCGATTCCCTCCCAGCAATTTTCCTGTTGTCAAATGAAAACTCTGGGAGTGTGTGATTAAAGGAGAGAGAAATCCATGTACTCAGAAACAGGAGTCTCCACTTGCTTTCCAGAGAACTTTGAAGTATAAACTGGGGTGATGTAATTATTATCTTTATTATTAATATGACAATCACATAGTTAATCATTTGACAATATAATTGCATTCTCTATGAATTACATAGCATGTTTCTTCTGATAGAAGAGCTCCAGGAAGTCATGAACATTATCCCGGTCTATATGCTTTCAGAGAAGTCTGAGATCTGTCTTGATAGTAGACTTTTGAGAGACCACTGGACGTTGCCAGGGTCCTACAGTGTTATTGTGGTCCTTGGTCTGTTGAGTCATTGGAAAAGTCATGACACATTTTTTGCATAGAAAAATATATCATGACTTTTCCGATGACTCAACAGAACAGGGGTCTGCAAACTTTTCTGAAAGGCACCAGATTGTAAATATAGTTGGCCTTACAGGTCTCTCCCATGGCCCTTCAATTCTGCCATTATAGTTCTGAAGCAGCTCTAGACAATACATAAACAGGGCTAGCTCTGGTCCAGTGAACTTTATGGACCTTGAAATTTGAATTTCCTATGATTTGTGTGGGTCATCAAATACTTTTTTTTCCTCCCTCCAACCGTTTTTAGCTTGAGGGCCATATAAAAACAGGCAGCAGACTGGAGCTGGCCTGCAGGTCATCCTTTGAGGACCCCTGGTTTAGACTAGAACCCAGGGCTCTTTCCTTGGCTTCTACCCACTTGTCAGGGGTTCATGAATCCTTCTAGAACACTAGGGGGCAGCTAAGTAATGTCTTCAGAGTGTTGTCTAGGCTCTTACCCTCCCAAACACATCAGAATTGTTTTTAATTACCTATTGATTGCATTTATTAACTCTCATAGTGAAGGACAGGAGCCAAGGAACCAAGCCTTCCTAATATCTCATGGGCCATGGAATTCCAACAAATGTGTTCCACAACAGAACACCCTTGCCCGGTACGGCGCCTGGCACAGAACACATGCTCAACAGACGCCAGTGGCTATTATCCTTCAGAGCGCCAAGCCATGGCTCTGTTAGTGTAGATGGGCCGTATTTGGATAACCACTTTTATCCATTGCTAGGTCATAAGCAGAGCATGTTGGGAGATAAAGGAGATTGGATGTAAAGTAACGATTGCAAACACATTCCTCAGTTCTTTAGGCATCTGTGTGTGGTGGATGAAGTCTTGAGGGAAGGTTATTTAGTCAAGTCAGTACGCACAAGCGTATTTATTACTTATTGTTATTAATTCTCGAGAGTGTCTGGCAGATGGCCAGCAGAGGCTCACAAAGGGGAGTACAGGTGGGTCCAGCATGCAGAAAAGACAGGACAGAGCGGTTTGGAAGTGGGGGAGTGGGGCCACTAACCTCTGGTGGAGCTCTTTCATAAGCAAGTTCCATCGATAAAATTACCATTTGGCTCACTCACATGCGTTGCCCACAGAGGCAGTGTGTGCAGCATAGGGGAAGAGTGTTCACATTGGGTAGGCTGGTCATGTGACCCTGAGAGGTCACCAAACCTCTTTGGGCTTTAATTGCCCTGTCTGCAAGACCCAGAATTTAGTCTACATGATTTACTTTTTTCCCCTTCAACTTAGAGGAATTGTGTCTGCCCTTCACTTCAGAGGAAGTGTTTTTAAATGGAGGAGGTTGATTTACAAGTATCGGTTTTAGAAGAGAGCTCTCTGGCTTGATCACATACGGCTTCGTGCTCAGCGCCCTGCACACCTGTGGAGGTGCTAGCTGGGCACTAGCAGCAAGTTCCCATGGCCAGGCTGACTGTCTCCCTCATCCATGGCACCTGGGAGACTGCTCCCTAGGTAATCGGCCACCGGCTTGCCTTTCCGGACCTTTCATGCTTGCTCTGGGGAGCCCCAACCAGTACACCAAGTTTCCAGTAGTGTTTTCCACAGCTAGAAAAAGCAAAAACCTTTAAAATGAGGGAAAACTGAAGTTAAACAGAAAATTACTTTCTGGGTACCAGGTAACACCCATGATGACTTTGATGCACCATTTTTTTTTTTTAAATTCATTGAAGTGCTTCAGTTCATGCTGACCTCCCTGTTATTGCTAAAGACCATGCAGACGAAATCCCTGGCACGGTCTTTCTTTTCATGTGGTTATTCTGGGAACAGCTTGCTGGTGCCGATTTTTTCACTTGTAGATGGTGAGGGCTAAGAAACAGTTGGCTCTGGAAAGGGACCTGCGCAGAAATGCCCTAGTGCAGAGGAAGACTGGTCCCTCGAGCGGAAGTGTGGCCCCTCTTGCCCACCTTCTGGCTCAGAGACTTACTGTTTGACTGCTGACCCCAGCTGTCATTCCAGGTATTCCTTCTGATTTGAGCAGATGCCAGCTTGCCAAATGCTCCTGAGAAATTAAAGGTTTTTTTTGTTTGTTTTTGTTTTTTAACATTTGTAAAGAAAAGTTTCCTTCCCAAGTGGAGAAGACAGGTGTTATGAGAGCCATTCTCTGGAACGCCAGACTGAGGTCCAAGAAGGCCGGGTGGAACAGAAGGCTTGGCCTGCCAGTGTTGCCGGAGCTGGAGAAGAGTCTCCTAAGGGGAGCCCTGGGCTCACTCACTCTTCCCTCACCACTTGTACCTCTGCACTAACAGGAAAACAGGCCCTAGAAGGTCTCTCTGCCGGGACTGACTCCAGGCTGGGCTCTGCCCACCACACCAGGCAGCCCGGTTCTTCTCCACCTGTGTGTTTTTAAATAAATTAAGTGGTGTGGTTGCTTTGGAAGACTTGCCCTCTGTCTTCCTGCTATTTTCCCTCTGTCTTCTTGCTGAAATTAGTTTATCCAGCTTAATTAGATCAACAGTTGCAGCCAAGGCCCTGGCTCATTCATTACTCTAATTGCCAGTGTACGATGTGCAGGCTGATACGAGTTCTATTAAGCACATCAGTTTTCATGTGGCCAAACAGGTGTCTCAGGAGGGATCTGATGCCCTCCCCCTAGACTGCAGCAACAGATGTTAGGTCTTCTTTTATTTATTTTTCAATGTTCTCTTTTCCTTTTTGGCCTCTGCATGAGACAAACATTGTGAAATGCATGAGCCTCGTTCCATAAAGCTCCAACCTGGAGCCAGATGAAGCATGGGGAAGCACAGGCTTGCCACCAAAGGGCTTGCACCCATGAGCCAGGGGGCTGGACCTTCCTGGCATTCTGTAGGGTCAGGCCTGGGATCGTCCGTTTCATCCCTGGTTGGTCCTTGACACCTTCTTCCCGGGATAGGTGTTCTTCCCATTTAACCTGTGCTCCTGGAAAGTTCCATCCAACCGGGATCCTTAAAGCACCTGTTTGTTCCAGCATGAAACTGAAAAACAAAAACAAAAACAAACAAACCATTCCCTGAAGATGTGTCAGCTCTGAAAAACATCCCCTTGTCAGCATTCCTTTAGTTACGCTTATGTTCACTGACGGCAGATAATCCTGATTCAGTGGATTAACTTTCTTTGGATAGGTTGGCTTCCAGTGGAAGGTTATCTTGTGAGTTTGTTAAAAAACAGAGTTTATAGAGTCAAATGTGCAAGTTTGTCTCTATAATTAAGACTTTTCCACCATCACAAATTTGTAAAAGCAAAGCAAAGTACTAACAACTTGGGCAGAGGAGAAAATAGCTTCTACATAAACACTAGCTGTCTTCTACGGAGACCTCTTCTGAAGATCACTTGCTAAAGCAGTTTCCCGTGAGAGCAACACCCCACTGATTTTCCTCCCTGGGGCCAAAACCTGTATTATTTGGCCCGAACGTCTCAACACCCCTGTGTGTGTGCGTGCGTGCGTGGGTGCACATGTGCTAGTGTGTGTGATAAGAATACGTGATGATGTGCATTGGCTACTGTCGTCTCTGATTTGAATCTAAGTAAATGTTTAATTAAATGTATAGAATGCTGTCTCTAATGTGACCCTCTCTCTTTATTAGATTCTCCTATTAACCCACTCCTATGAGTCCATCTTATTTCTTGCAGATGAATGATGCTATGGGATTTGAATTACCCTGGGTGTATTTTGTCAGTCTCGTCATCTTTGGGTCGTTTTTCGTACTAAATCTTGTACTTGGTGTATTGAGCGGGTAAGCTACACCTCTTTCATCTTGAAAGCAGAGTCCTGAGGACAGTTGCCAAGACCACACAGGCTTCTGCTAGACGGGGGCCACCGGGTGGGTGCCAGACTTTTTATGCTTCCCCCGAGAGGCTTGCTTTTCTGCTGAGGCTTCCCAAATCAAGCCGTTTCCTGGAACCTCACCAGGCTTCATGAAAGAAAGTTGCAGAATGATTATCGACCAGAAATTAATCAGCATTGTGGCTTGGAATTTAAATAGTTTTCCATTGCTTGCCTTTTTGTCTGTCCTAAAATGAGATGCATTTATAATTGCTTTATTGGTCTGGATCCATATATGATACCTATTAACTGGTACAAAACAGTAGCTAAATGAATTGCCTTTGGTGAGTCACGTTTGTGGATTTCAGCAGCAGCACCTGTCTTTGTTAGAGGGGAAAAAAATAATGGAAGGCTCTAGGTTCAGACCCTCTCCTAGGAACATGTAACCTTCAGTCAAAGTGCCAAGTGGTCTGGCAGCTGCAACTGGGGCTCTGCTCTTTAATAAACGGTTAACTGATAACTGATCTCCTTACGTTTTTACAGGTAAATGATGCGATAGGATGGGAATGGCCATGGGTGTATTTTGTTAGTCTGATCATCCTTGGCTCATTTTTCGTCCTTAACCTGGTTCTTGGTGTCCTTAGTGGGTAAGCAGTTGGATCCATGTTGCACTCTTCTGCTGCCACGTGTGAGGCAGCTCTGCGTGTCTCTCAGCTGCTCCCCAACAGCCTCTCTGCATGTGTGTGGACGCTCATGTCCCCTCAGTGTGTTGCTTTTGGGTTGAACTGTGATTCTTGCTGCCCGTATCTGTCTGTGAGTTTGCGTGTTTCCAATGCTTGCCCAGCTCTGTTAACTGAATGAAAAGGTTGCCCTGAAGCCGGTGCTGTCAATGTGGGGACGCGAGGAGGTGGACTACAGGTGCGGATTCCTGATGTGGGGACGCGAGGAGGTGGACTACAGGTGCGGATTCCCGATGTGGGGACGCGAGGAGGTGGACTACAAGTGCAGATTCCCGATGTGGGGGACACGAGGAGGTGGACTACAAGTGCAGATTATCGATGTGGGGACGCGAGGAGGTGGACTACAAGTGCAGATTATCGATGTGGGGACGCGAGGAGGTGGACTACAAGTGCAGATTATCGATGTGGGGACGCGAGGAGGTGGACTACAAGTGCAGATTATCGATGTGGGGACGCGAGGAGGTGGACTACAAGTGCAGATTATCGATGTGGGGACGCGAGGAGGTGGACTACAAGTGCAGATTATCGATGTGGGGATGCGAGGAGGTGGACTACAAGTGCAGATTCCTGGCCTTGGTTTCCCCCAGGAAGGTGCCTTTGTCCCTGTGGTTCTGTTTCCATTAGTTCATAGCCTGGCTCCATGAAGTCACCCACAGCGCTTATAACTGCTTTCCTTGGTGTTTCAGATTCTATTGGTCCAGGGAAATAAGCCTCAGCTAGCACACAAACACACCGAACAGTTTGAAATCTTGCTTCCTCAATTTGGGATCCTTTATTAGCTGGGTTTTCAGCTGCTGTCACCTTGAAAATGTCCCTCTAATTCTGTTGTAATCAGAACTGGCAGGATTATTCTTTAGTGTAAATGAGGGTCATCCTTCGCCCATACACTTCCTAGGCCCCTATCCTAGTCCTGGTCGTCCAGTATCCATTTTCGAAATTCGTCCTGTTCACCACCTCGTCTCCAGGGATTGACTCCCCATAAGGAAAGCTCAGCAGAGACTGGCTTGAAAAGGGGACCCCTTGTTGCAGGGCTCGACTCTGCCTTACCTGGGGATATAGTTCCTGAGCCACTGCGGCCAGCTCTGCCTCCTGGCCATGCCACAGTCACCCCAGAAGGCGGGGTACCCTCAAGAACAGGGGTGTGGGCTCCGTGGGCTTTCTCAGAGGTAGCTACACAACCATTGCCAGGAAGGGGGTAGCGTGGCAGGGCACTGGAAGCCCAGGAGGTGCCCACGTCCCCTAGAGGAGCCACTGTCACTGCACCAGGCCCAGACATCCTCGGGAAATCATGTCGACAGGCGTGAATCCCAGAAAGCTTATCACTCTGCAGTCACTTTATCCTGCTCTTTCCGAGGCCATATCTCAGCAAAGTGGCGTCCTCATGGGTGCTGAGGTAGCAAAGAGACGTTTATCGCATTTGTCTAAACACTGCCTTTTCCAGAGCAGAGGCGGACCTCGTTATGTATCCTGGTGAACGTTCCTGCTCTCCTGCTGACCCCGCCCTGCCCATGTCCAGGGGCTATGCACTGTAAACCTTCCTGACTGAGGGTGGTCAGTTTCACCCCATGCATGGTCCTGTAAACCCCCACTGAGAAATGGCTGGGAACTAGTGTCCCCCAGCAAGAGGACCCCTGGGACTGAGTCGGGCTGTGGTGACACACTCCCTCCTGCCCAGCTTCCTTCTGCAGATCAGTGGCTCTTAAGTCTCCTGTCCTTTCTCTTCTCCCGGTGAACCTCTGTGGCCTCAGTTTGGGGTTAGGGTTGTGAGGGTGGTGTTCATGCCCGGAGAGACAGCGCCATGTCTGACTTTCCCACAGCAACAGCCCATACAAGGGTAATGGCAATTCTGCACATTCCTCCGGGCCCGTGTCTCCCAAACCCAACCAAACTGTCGGAAGCTATGGAAACCAGTCATCTGAGCAGTGCTGGTGACATGCCTTATCTTCCAGCTTCCCCAGGCAGGAGCCTTTGCCCAGCATGATGAAGCAGAGGTAGGAGCCAAATCATGAGAGGCTTGGAAAAAATAAAAGAGGAGAAAGGGAAAGCTAGGAGGTGGGGCTCCCCACTGTAATGATGGGCATTAGACATGCAACTCTGGGGGAGGTACCCAAAGCCAGAGAATGGAAGAAAAAAAGAAAATCCAGATAGCAAAACCAGTTTACTGAACACATTTTGGAGGAAAATGATGAATTTGGGGAAAGTGTTATTTTTGCATCAAAACAGAACTAGATTCCTTACAAAGGAGAGTACGAATGAAATGAAGGAGAATTTTTAAAAGCAAATCCAAAACTCACAATTGATTTCTCACTGCTGGTTCTGCTGTGCCTGGATGCCCAGAGGCGTGTACTACCTGTCCACCCCGAAGGCCGCTTCAGAGGGAAGCACCGAGGGATGCTTTGAGTGGAGTAAGAACCTCGCAGTCATGGTGGCTGGCTTGGCCAGCATTTCCCGAGCTCCTGAGTGGCCGGCCCTGGGCCAGGAGCCAGGGTGCCAGGATGTCCGAGACACCAGCGGCAAGCAGTGCTGTGCTCAGGCAGTCACTGTCTAGTGGGAGAGAGGGTTTGGGAGCAGTGCAGTATGGTGAGTGGTAAAGCAAGGGGCTCTGCAAACTGTACCTCAAAAGATACAGGAGGTGTCTGCAGAGGGACACCGCTGAGGGGCTGGCAGGCTGCCACCTCCCCAGGAATTCCCTGCCCATCTCTGCCCAGCTCCTGCCGCCTTACTTCCCCATTTGTATTTGTCGTGACGGCAAATTGAAGCCTTTTTTATTTTAATCTTGAGATTCTTCACACAACCTTTTTAGGGACCAGTAGAGGGATTGTAACCACGGAGGACATCAGTGTTGAAAGGAAGACAGTGTATATCTCATAGCCCCTAAGAGACTGTCAGCCCACCGTGAGTGTAACCCCAAAAGCTCTGAATGAAAAGGCTCCCATTTTAGAAACTTCTGCCAAGACCACGTGGTGCCTTCTCGTGAAGAAACGCTAGAGGATGCTGTGCATCTCTGATCTGTTAACCACTTTGAAATACCTATTCACACTCCTGAGCTCCCCCTTTTTGGTGTGAGCATGCCATCCTGTTATATTAATATTTCAGAACCAACCTTAATCCGTACATTTGATTCGATGGTTATACGTTTCAAAGCACTTTAAGACAGATGACTTTGGAAAATTCTTTGATTTTATAACAGACCCTTTTTTCCGCAAGGTGAGTATGAAGTGTATGAACCGCACGCCCCAGGTAGCCAAGTGTGACACAGGTGAACATTTTTATCTCTGATGATAGTGCTCGGTGGGGGCCGAGTGTCTGCAACTAGGGGTCCAGGTTAATAGCAAGCTGTCGTGGAGGAGATGGTTCCATTATAGTCAGGAATTTTCTATTGTTTTTAAGGTTATTTATTTCTTCTCTAGAGCAGGCATCCCTAACAGGGTCTTTATGCTGCAGACCACCCCCACTCTCACCTGGCATGCTCATGGGCACACACATGTGTACCTGGGTGTTTAGGAAGGTCACAGAGCACAAACCCAGGACCTTTTCCACATGGGTCCAGTTCATATCCACTGCCTGGCCCCGAAAGTGTCTCCTTCAAGTGTATAATGCAAGTATACTATAATATATATGACTCATTTTTTCATGCTGGCTTTTTTTTAGAAGCTTGAGAGTTTTTCACTTTTAAAAGTAACTCAGTTGACTTCTTATCCCCTCTGAGGTTTGCATCAGTTAATGGGCAAATAATAATTATTGAGTGTGCCAGAGCCCCAGGCCTGTTTCTGTAAACTCCCTGCCAGACTCCCAGAGGGAGAATGGTGGTGGCAGTTGTGGGCTGCCTGGTCCTGTGCCTGCTTATCTGCTTCCATACTCACCTGGCACCAGCCATGCCTGGAGCAGTAGTGTCTGAGCTCCTAAGGCAGGGGCACCCCAGGCTCCTGAGATGTGGCTCAGACTCCCAGGTCAGGGACTGGAAGACCTGGTACGATTCTGCCTCAGTCCCATGTTCACTCAGGGACTTTTTTAGTTGCCCTGAGCCTCAGTCTTCTCCTCCCTCAACAGGGATAATCCTGTCTTCTGTCTCCCTCAGAGACTTGTTTTCAAACAGCTAATAAACGTCAAAGTGGTTTGAAAAACATATAAAGGATTGTACTCATTTAACATATCCTTATCTTAAACCCATGGATCTTCCTGGGTAAAGTGGAAACAGTTGAGAGGCCTCCGTGGAAATCTGACATGCAGTGTGTTCTGGATTTCCCAGGAAGTCCAAAAGAGCAACAAGCTTTATATGTACATTAACATCACACTCTCCCTCCCACAGGGTGACTGTGGAGGGTACAGATGTTCTTGGTCAGCTGTAATGTAATGTGCGAATCAAATCGTGGTTATTGAAGTTATATTTGATGATTTTTTTCTTTTTTGCACAAATAGAAGGGAAGGCATTTCTGTAACATAGTGGTTAAGCACCCCAGCTTTGGAGTTGGATACTCTACCTTTTATCAGTTATGAGATTTGGGGCAAATCCCTTGCCTCTGTGAGCCTTACTTTGCTCATCTGTGAGATGGAGCTAGTAACAGTACCAACCTTATGGAGTCCAGTGAGCACTCAGCGACCCAAAGAATGTAGAGTATTTTGTCATTGTCATGCTTCCAGGAGGAGCGTATAAGATGGGATTTGATTTAAAAAAAGGAGTCTAATCAATTCAATCCATTTAAACTAATTAATAAAAATTGACCGAGATAAGCCTATATTTGTAAAAAAAAATCTAAGATCTATTTTTAATGACTTATTATATGCACACGTATTTATGTGATGACATAATCCAGTGTTTACTAAAGGGTGTTACTATTGGATCATCAGAAAAGTCATGGTATATTTTTTCTGTGTTTTTCTATGCAAAAACGCGTCATGACTTTTCT